GCCTACGGGTAGCGCGAAGGCTCAAACCGCCTCGCGGGCCGCGCCGGGACGGGACGTGGCTGCTTCTTAAAAAAAATAATTTAATTTAATTGCTAACTTTTCGCTAGGCCATGTTGACGGTTACTGCTGTGTTCGGCCAGGCCTATCTCCCCGGGAGAGGCAGGCAAGGAGGAGCTGCAGCCGTGCACGAGCCCGGCGGCGCCTCCAGGGCTGCAGGTTCGGGAAGGGCTGCCCGGAGCAGGGTGCGCGGGGCGCTCGTGTTCCCGCCCGCGCCGAGCTCCCCCCGAGCGGACACGCAGAGCACGAGCCGATCGCCGCTGCCTTTGCTACAGGTGCCGCGTCCCACACACACGCAGCACAAACGCAGGGCTAATGGGTGGGATGAAAAGAAACGAGTAGACAGAAACGTGCAGCCAGAAGGCAGGGGGCAAGACGGCCCGAATTCTGGATCTTAGGAGCTTCATCACTTAAACATAGGGAACAGCGTTAGTTTCACTTTGAGGCCCAGGCAGGTGCCACACGAGAGAAGCCTTTCTGTCCTGCGGATCTGTGCTTTGCTCCTGCAGCCGCTGCACCAGAGCGGACCTACCTGGAGCGGAGCAGCAGTGCGGAGCGGCAGCAGCGGGACGCTCGAACATCTCCATCCGGCCAGACCTTCTTTCCTGTCTGAATTCTGCAGACAACTCATTCCCAGGAGCCACAATTATCTTGGAGATCCAAATTTAAACAAAACTGCCTAACAGGCTCCCAACTTACACAGTAACAAAAAGCTAAGAGGTTAGTTTAACAGCATCATGGACGTATCTAGTTGATGCTGTATCTTTTCAGCTATGATTTAAGAATACCCCTGAAGCAACTATTTGTTAAACTTCTGGGAGAACGCTATTTTATCATTTGTAAAAGAACTAAGCTCCATGCAAGTTTACTAAGCTTTCCTAAAAATCTTCCCAGTACTACACAGTATTAAAATAATGAATTTAAGATGAGGAAAGAAAGAGCTGAGAATCTGAATATCAGGAACCAGGAATATCAGGAATTTGAATATCAGGAATCAGGAACCAAAGGCACTTGCCTGGCTCCCGGAAATGCAAGTAAAAGGATTTAGAAGATCACAGTTTAAGGCAAGTCAGTAAGTGTCTCCGAAGCAAGAAAGGAGGGAAGATCATGCAGGAAGCTATATTAAGAACAGCTGTGAAATCATGCTTTTTGATCTTTGCTATCAAGTGAGAGGCCAGAATATAACAGCAGGGTCTGCAGTGAGTCACACACTGGAGCTACACGCCAGTTCTGTGGAGATTTCGCATCCTCGGAATCACGATGGGATGAGCAGCCCTGGGGCTCCGGCTCTTACGGTTGCTTTTTTCACTGCCTTCCTTTCCTGACTCCTCCAATCCTGAAACCACCGCACAGGAAAATAAACCAATGACCTCCAAGGGCAAATGTGTTACAGGAGATGCAAAGGGAGATGCCAGAAGGCAGAGGGGAAGCTCAGAGCACGCATGGATGGACCAAGGGTGGGAAAAGAGGACCTGTGAGAGCAGTGGTGGCAGCTTAAGGAAGGAGGCAGGCAAGGACAGAGTGGAATTCCTCCAGTTAATCCTGTGTCAAAAACCCTTCCCCTAAAGCAGGGACCAAAACTGATACAGAGAAGTTGAAATCAAAGTACCAAATTAAACATCTTTACTATAATTCTATTGTTGATGGAATATACTCAGTACGTGTGTCTTCCTGAAAATAAGGGAAATGCTAGGCATTGTTTTTGCTGGACTTCAAGGTAACCGATTGCAAGGGAAAGGAGAAGAAAGAGTTAAAAAACAAACAAACAAACAAAAAAAAACCCAAACAAACAAACAAAAAACCAAGCAAGCCCACCCCAAAAATCAGTTTATAAAAAGGTAAAAAGTTTTTCATTTTTTTCCTTTTTTTAATAAATGTGCTTTGTTCACAAAAAGTAGTGATATAAAGACAACAACAGAAATGCAAATACACATTTTTCCTTTTGTCCCCCAAAACCGTAAGGATGAGAAATCTTCAGAAATCTTCCTCATCTCCTCTCGAGTCATGATTTTGAAACACTTCATCATCTACAGATACTCTTCTTGCATCAAAGGCAAATATTCAAAAATTCCTCCTGCTATCATCACTGTATTGTTGAGGGGTTTACATAGTCCTGGAAATTCCACGTTCCTCCTCCACCACAACCCACTGTCCATTGAGGAAAACAAACATACAAAACCCCCAAAGAAAACACTTTAGGTTATTTCGAATGAGCAGCAAGAGAACCAAGCTTTTATGTTCCTCTGGTCCCTAACGCACAAGTAAAATGGTGTCACCAAGTTGTCAAATAGCTCTAAATTTTAAGTGTTAGTCAATTTAAAGTGATTTATGATAAATCTTGGACTGCACTGCTTATCTGTACAAATCACAAACCAAATTATACGGACCAATGCCAGCATTTATGCTAGTTGCTAAATAACTTCAAAAGGAATATTTTTAACTAAGATGTTGGGCACACTTTGAAGTATGCACAAATTAAATTTCTGTAAACAACTGAATTAAGAGCACCAATATTTTAGCTTTAGCATGAGCACTGCTGGAGTCAGTAGTAGAAAAAAGGTTTTGACTGACAAGCACTTTAGTGAAAGGGAACTTGAAGTGTCAGCTGCAAACACTGAGTTCTAGTCCACTGTACATCCATCCTGTAACTGTTAATATTTTCTGAAGAAAACATTAACATTCAACTATGATCTCTGTTTCTGCGCCTAATTTCAAGTTTTACACCTCAAAATATAATTATTTTGTATACCAT